TTGGCTTAAGCAGCTGATGCTAAGTGATTCTGAACAACTCTGACCTTCCCTAGTGATGGATAAAGAGCCAGCTACTGCCTTTGAACCGAGGGAAACTGCACTTTGTAGAATCTAGACCAAGGCACCTTGCTTGAAATGATGAAGTCTCTACTGCTTGAACCCCAGACAAAGTGATACAATTTTACTGGTGGCTGGTGAGCCAAGGGGATAAAGAGCCAATTAGTTAATCTCATTAGCAAATCTCATCTCATTCTTGCTTCCTCACACTTAGGAGGAACATTAAAAGCATGTGGTTAGCAGGTTATCCAAAAACATATTCATATGCTGCCCCCCACCTTAAGTCATCTTTTCAGACCGCTGAGTTCCTTCAGTCTAGAGCAACATTTCTTAAAAATTTAAGCTTAAGGGAGCTTGCTTACCTTGCAAACACTTGGATAAAGATCAATATTCTAATACCGAGCAGACTGTAATTCAAGAAGTATGACGCAACTTAGGCAGGTGGTCTAAATCTTGCAGATTTAGACTTGCTTCCTTTATGAAAACATGCTACACTCCCCCCTAAAATATCTAACATTTTAGGAGCTAGTCTTTAAACTAGTTTCTGGAACAACATCTTTCTGGTGACTATCATTTTCCTATACATATGGGAAAAAGGAGTAATAGATCAGGTATGGTTTTGTCTGTTACAAAACCAAAATAATACAGTGATGACTGAATGTGCCCATTCTCCATATAACTCATTTGGGCTATGGAAGATGCTCCTGCCCTTCATCTTGCATGGTGTAACTCTTTAAAAGTGCAACTATCTTGTGCAAATTAAACCACCAACTCAGTTCCCTGTGTGAATGAATAATTTCTTTAAGATGACTCTTATTTGTTTCCCGTAATAAAAGCGACATGATTAGGATAGAAAGCATTTTTGGCAGGATTAAGTATTATGCAGTGGATATTCATTTTTACTAATTGCCACCTATACAGTTAAATGGAAACTGTAAACAGCTCTGGCATCAATAAGACTAAGAACTGAAGCCAATTTTCTTTCTGAAAGTTTCTGAGTTTTCTTTCACTGTTTGAAATTCTGATGGCATAGTTAAGGCAGGGAAGATAGCATCTGGACTCCTAGGCTTTCTTTCATAGACATATCACAATCTTCCCATGCAATGTCTTAGGCAAGTAACTTAAAACTCATTTTCTATTGACGAATACCATTTCTCAACAAGCGTGCAGCCACACATTGCTGTTGCACCTCTTTTTTCATTCATATCCATCTTGGTAGGAAGTTGTAGTAATTTCTGTAAAGCACTAATTAGACTGTTAACTTTGATAGGAGTCAAATACTGTTCGTTTTCATTAAGACATAGCTCTCTAGATATCAAATTAAGCACACTATCTGATTATTGTCCTAGACAAATCTCTTGAACCTCCTCCTGCTCTTGTCAAAGTTTTGACAGTACAGAAGAAGACTGACTGAGCTCTCCTGAGCTTGGCTGCTTTTACTGTGCATCTTTTGCAGGGATGTGAAGTTACAACCCTTCAAACTGAGACTGCTTTGACAGAAGTTAGGGCTTGACTGCATGTAGGAAAAAGGTTCTAAAGCTCAAACAGCATGTCCAGCACATCCAAATCTTAACATAAAAATGCTTTTTTTGCTAAACAACATATTTGTCTGGTCCACTAGCAATCTTAACTATCTTATTCCTGAGAAAGCACAGGTCAAGTTTACTGCAATTCTATTCTAAATGAGAAATTAAATTAATTTCCTTTTCCATATGGTCTCTGATATTTAGAAGGAAGCACACCCAGGGTCTCTAGTAGAGAAAAACATAAACAAAAGTTATATGACAACAGATACAGTAAAAAAAAAAAAAGGCAGCAGGATGTACGTGAAGGAACACAATAGAGTTCCATGCCATATCCATCCCGCATAAAAAAATATAACCAAACTGTCTAAAACTGTCAGGGTTTTGAGACAGAGTAGATACAAATTAAAAACTGAAGACATGAAGCCACAGAGCTGTGTCAAGTCTAGAAGACCCGCCTGAACACTGTCAAGAACTAGTGGAAACAAATTATAGAAAGTATTCTATCTTATATGCTTATACAAAAAAAAAAGCTATCTAGAATATTAAAAATTGTAAAGTGCAGAAATTGTAGAATCTCAAAATTGTTTGAATTGTTTTCACTACATAATTTATGTCTGAAAACATCAAATATCTAGAGGAACATGTAATAGGTTAAAATTTCAATCCTACTCAGTTTCAAGACTTTTAACATCAAGATTTTTAAAGCTAGTTTTCAATTTTTTTTTACTATGACTTCTCTTAGAATCAAGATTTGATATTGTAGAATTTAATTTGTTACTAAGTAGAACAACTTTCGTTTATCTCCAATACACAGACTCAATTTCAAAAAAACAGCTCATAGTCTACAACTGTATATTTAATCATACCCTTATGCCCCCTATAATTACTAGCAGTTAGGAAGATAGAAGACTGAACAATCATATACTTTATCAGTGAATTAACTATAATTCATTTTTCCCCTTTCCCTTCCCCCCCTTTCTAAAACTGCACAATCAAACAGCACATAAAGGAACTTATTTACATGGAACACCACCACATTTGTCTTTGCTGGGTCATCATTTCATGGAAACCCAGAAGGTATGGCTGTTGAAGACTGGTGCATATTTAGGTTTTAACAAATAACAGTTCATAGGCAGAAAACAGTCACAGAGAAGAAAATAGCTAATCAAAACACATTACAACATTAGATTTTCACTTTTTATAAATGGAGTAAAGATGCTTTTAAATATATTTACAGTTAGAAAAAGGATTTAGGATTACTACAAGTCAAAATTATTTAGAAGTTATGAAAGCGAAATTGATTTAAATTGTATTTGTAACATGATCAGAGTGAAATTGCAAACCTCTACTGCTTTTGTCTATTCTGTTGTTACTACTGTTAACATCCCTTTAATCACAAATGGGCAAAAATAATTTTAAGTTTGGTTAATGCCGCAACAGGCATCGCTGTAGGTAAACACTGGCTAGGTAATATTCACTCTTTCAGTTAGAGCCACCACCCACTGCTCAATTTTTAGATCCTGGCAGACTTGAATTTGTAATAAAGAAAAGTCCTTTTCAAAGTCTTGTTCCCAAAAGAATGGGGATTTCTATGAGCCCTTTCTGCACTCCTTTCGTTACAAACATACCTTTACTGCATTCTTGAGATTATTCGCTAGTAACAGTCAAATCATAGCAAATCCTCTCAGTCCTTCTTTCCCTTCAAACCAAACGGTTACTTATTTCTACAGGTAAGAAGAGAGCTTTTGTAGGTAGTGCGGGGTGGTTTATTCACATTAACTTAAATGAAAATAGAATTCCCATTTAGTGAACTTTAGGTGATAGATTATTACCTGCTTTCAAGCAATAGTGAAATGTGTTAGCATTCATTACAGGCAAAATTAGAAGCTCATTTCAGAAAACATCTCGCAATGAGATTTGCTATCATTCAACTGCTTACTTTAAACAGTTTCATTTCTCTCGTAATCCATTACATCAGTATATTCCGCAAATACTCCCACCTAAAAATAAAATATAAAAAAATAAAGTTGAGAAGCATGTTCTTTTCTTTTTAAAACTAGTGTATGTTATTCTGACCTCCAGCCCGGCCCCCAAAACATTTAAATACTTTAAAATACATTGTTTTAAAGATACTAAGATTTGACCAGGTGATGTCAATGAACAAACATCCTGTTTAGTAAGATAAAGCAGAATACATAGGAAATAGATCAGTAGTCATCCATCTGAAATAGCCTATAATTAACATTTGATGTCTAAAAAGTTTAAACAGCAACACCAAAGAATGAGGTATGTATGTTCTCAGATATCACATCAGACTTTCATTTTATGCAACTAACTGTATTTTTGTATGCAACTATCTGTATTTCACAACTAGCATCTTACAAAATAGACAGTACCATTGTGCCTGTAAAAGTACTGCATTAAAAACAGAAAAATACATTACAAGAAACCACCAAACATCACAATTGTCAGGGGCTACAAAAATCCATCATTTTAGCTAATAATAAGATGTATCTTAGATCAGTAATAATTTAGGGCTGGATTCACTACCAAAAGGTCCATCCAAATTTTATATGGGCGTAAAAATATGCGTTTTGGATGAAAGAGAAAAGAATCACAGGAAAGTGAGTGGACTACCTCACAAAAAGGAGTCAAATGGACTTTTGTACTGAATCTATAATTTTAAATCTATACATGGATTTTTGTGTATATGTGCATGTGTGTCTGTATGTATGTGTGTGCATCAAAACACTTATTGGTTGTAAACAAAAATGCAAAATCTGTATTCACAAAAATATTTTATTGGTAATTTTACATAATACCAGCTGGGATTGTAAATAGTTCTGCTTTGTATCAGTCTATTACTAAGTGTGTATATGCTGACAATTTATGCCATAAAGCCGGGTGCGAAGTTTGTTCATATGATTTATGACAGATTTTCTAAAGGGCCAAATTAAAATGAAAGAAGTTGATTCAAGAACAACAACAAAAAAAGAAACGGTATTGATATTTCCTTGTTCTTGTGCATCATTTGATATCTCTGTAACAAAGTGATGATAAGTGACTGTATGACACTACATAAACTTGGGGCAAGGAAACGGCACTAAGCAGAAAAGAGAATTGTACTTTGGGTTCTTTTTAAAGCTTTTCTAAGATTTCGTATTTCCAGATGTTAGCTGTGCCAAATACTCAGTCACCTGAGATTCAATATACTTGTTACCCAATACAGAACACCAGTGTATAGTGAGAATGTAGTACTTCACCTGAATTATAAAGCTAACTAATCAATCCTTAGAATGTCTTCCATTTTGCTTGTAAACATTACAATAAGTGTTTTAAGTGTGAATGAAAATGGTAAAACCAGCAGTATAATTCAGCATCAGGAATCTAGTAAAATGTGTCAAACATTGGCAAAAATTCATACAAATGTTTTATTTAATAGCATTTTCCTATTTAACCACACCAAGTACCAGCAGGTGTTTTTAAGAAGATAATTACTATGAAAATTCTGTTGAAGCAATAGTTGATTAAGTTGATCTTTGACTTGCATACATATAACTATGCTTCACAATTCCCAAATAATACATATTTAGGCAGCTTGAACTATGTTATAAAAATTTAAATTCAGTACATGCCAATAGTAGAGAATCCAAGAGTTGTGTTAGAATTCACTAAACTAAAAGTGAAAATGACTTACCAATAACACTGCATAATGAACATTCAAACCACATTTTCATGGCACCTTTACACATGAAGATTAAAAAAAGTTGGTCTGAAAATGCTTTGTGAGCATTAGTAGATTGCATTTAAATTATCATTTCTATGACTGCATTTTTTTAACTGCATAAACTATGTTCCAGTAAACATACCAATTGTGCATGGATAATCTGTCATGAAAATGTGGTAACAGGTGGCAGAAGTTATGTATTTTCATGTTTTGAAGAGAAGAGACTAAGGAAACTGGAAGAAATAAACTTTAATGAGATTCTCCATTCAGTGATGAGGCTTCTCCTCTGGGTGAAGATGACCTGGACATTCCCCTCTCTGTGTTGTCAGAGCTAGAACCACTCTGACTGTGTTGATCCGCAGAAGCTGCACTGGAAGCAGGTGGTGACTTAGTTTTCTCCTTAAAGTCTGTAATTATGACTGTCAGATCTCCAACGGTAACTTCCAAATGCTGAGCACTACTTCGATCCACATTTTTCAATCTTGGCCTAAATAAAACAGATAACCATATTAAAAGCACCTAAACCCTCGTATTATCTTGTCCTCCTCTTTTTTTATGGACTTGGGAGAAGATAAATGTAACATTAGCATAATTCTGCTGTGTGGAATGAGTAGTACATAACATAATAACATACCACAAGTATTTGCTATAAAGTATTTCCAGTTAAGTTTTACATCTGTAACACAGAGATAGATGAAAATAAAATTACCCTCTACATCTTTTCCAGAGATTATGTAACACTTGACCTTTTGGATAACTGTGCAGCAATACATTTTTGTTATACATTAAGGTTGCTGTTTTAAAAATTGTGTTTTGTTATTGTGGCTATAAAGTTATGACCCAGAGAAACAGCCTAAAACAAGTCCAAGTAGAGAACACTGTTTAATAATGAAAATTTTGATGTCTGAAAAGCTCTTCTGTGCTTTTTGAATTCAACAGCACTGATAATTTTAAAGGCAAATTCTGAAAGTGCGAGTTTGCAGCAGGTATACTTCCTTTCAAAACCTCACTAAGACTAATATATAGCTTAGACTGGACTTTGTGTTTGTGGTATAATTCTGGTACCCCTCGCAAATGCTGTGATTTCAGTTATGCGCAGATCTCTGTACTATGCACAGTGCTGCTGGCCAATTCTCTTAATCTAAGCTTACCATCACCTGATACAGACCCAGAGAAGAATACTATGAATTATATGCTGTGAAAGCTGTTGAGAACATCATGGCTTTATGCATTTAACTGGCTGCACAGCTTTCACCAGGTCTAGCTGCAAAAAAAGAAACTAATACCACAGCCCACGTTAGCAGCTGTTTTAACCGCCAAGTCCTAACTTTTACTCTATCATCTGACTTTGCTTCAAGCAGAATTCCAGTAGTCCCAGTCATTTCTGCTGAAACACCTCCTGCCCTCCCTCTGCTAGACAGAGATAGGGTTTGACATCTTGTTCTCCAGAGACTGAAGAATCTAAGAGAAGGCTGAAAATCTGCTGCCCTGTAACATGCGAATGCAGAGGAAAAATGAACAAACAAAACCCAGCATTATCAACCTGCATAAAAGCCCCACAGCCTCGTTGTTTCTAGTATCTATTCTTCATGCAATTCTCTACACTGAATTTTTGACCAAAAGTTCTGTATCAGTGTTCTCCACTTTTCCTTTTCACTTTTGCATTTTTAATGTATTGTTGCAATTTAACCTTTAATATTTACATTTATAATACCTAATTATCTTTGATAAAACTTGCTATATTAACTTCAGATATTTCATAACAGAAGTCATTTAGCTGAGTATGTTGTGCAGCTAGAAATTTTGACTATAAAAAAAAACAGGAAAAATAATCAAATATATGCATTCACCTGCTGTCTCCTTAGCCCTAACCACATTTATCTTAATGAGTCTTATGGAACTTTTCTCTTGTCTCATAATTTCTTCCTGGTTCTGATATCCTACTCCAGACATAAAGAAGCATTTGCTACTTCTCCACAGATCTGATCCCAAGAAACCTTCCTTCACTGGGCTGCTTTGGAAACCTCTCTCTCTAAGATTACAAAAGCCTAAGGTTTCCATCAGTATCCTAAATGTGCTACAGGGAATTTTTATCATTAGGAAATTTATGTGCCTTGGCCTGTCACAATTAATACCTTAGTTTATCCTCCAAAATTTATTCTGCATTTGCAAGGCTACCAATAACTGTTACTTTCCTATTCTTCTGGAACCAGGTATTTGATCTTTGTTTCTTTCTCTCCTATTATTCTGCATAAAACTAGTTGCTCTCCCCACCTCTCTTTTCCAAAACCTAATATCATCCCTTTTGCCTATCTATGGTTTCGTATGGTGTGAGCAACATCTGTTCCCCTTAGCAAAAGTACCCAATTCTCTCCTTTGTTTTCAGCTCGTCTCCATCTCCTGGTCAAAATTATGAACTGCAGGTTTTCTTCACATTTAATAGGCAGCCTAAAAAACAATGAAACTTCAACACAACTGTTCCCTATTTTGGAAAAAGTTTATCACAGCACTTACAGAGCAGTAAAATGAAGAGCATTTTCTTACTTTTTTATTATTATATTTACCAATACTTCAAAAGTTTCTAAAAAAATTACCTGGTTTTCTTATGACTGTTCTTTTTGCTAGTTGTTTCCTTTTCACTTTTTTCCTTTTCTACTTTGTCTTTTTTCTCTTTCTTTGATTGTGTAGGGGGCACGAATTGCTGGGGAACCTGTTGGGCAACCAGCTGAGAGACAGGTCGAGGTTTCCTGTGTGCACATATATATACATACACATAACACTTAGAATTTACAACATCAGTCTCAAAACTCTCTGTACTTCGGTTATTGAGAGTAACATTCAGTACAAAATCAAATACTGCTAAAACTTATACAGCTGCCAGCATCTCATTATAACATCATAGCGAATTTAAACCACTGCAGCCTTTTGATTCACTTTTTGTTAGGAACAATGGATTTCTTTTTTCCCGGAGGGTTTAAAGAAAGGGCTTTTGTGTTCCCTCTTCCTCCAGTTGTTACATCCAGAGCTTTCCCCTCCACGGCCCAGCTGAGGAGGGCGCCGTGTGGAGGGCACTGCAGTTCCTGTCAGCTCATACCACAAAGCGCTCACCCAAGTCACACCCGCCGCAGCTTTATGGAGCAAAACTTACTCTTTCAGCTCATGCTTCCCCAAAGCAACGGCAAATCCTGTTGAATGGTGTTTCGTTTTTATCAGGTTCTTCACTGGAGGAAACGCACCCTAGTTCGGGAGGCTGTGGCGAGCGGGACGCACGCGCTCCAACAGGCCACAGAAGCTTCCAGACTTCGGAATACCCAATGCAGCTTTCCACCCCCCCAAGTTTCTTTCCAAACTAAAACCAGTTTACTAATTTTATATTTGCTGAAATATAGATATTCTCTCTTCTGAAAATTGCTTCATTTTTATTTTATTTGGTAATAGAATATAAGAATTTTAATATGAAATGAGATGTTTTACCCTTTCCAAGAGTTTATGTAGTACCTAATACTGCAAAATAAATGAAAAAAATAAAGAATAGGGAGAAAAAAAAATCCTTGCCGGGAGGAACAGAAGTCAATTAAGACCAAAAACACTGGGGAAAACGCACTAAAAATAAATCAAGAAGTTCTGCATGGTTTTGTTGCAACAAGGAATTCTACTAAATTTGCTTTATTTCTCCTGATTAAATATTCATCTTTACTCTTGAGATATATTTTCACTTGGGATATATTTTTGGTCTAACTCCTCACAAAACCAGATCAGACTGTTTATGCTATTACTTGCTCTGAAGTATATTACTTTTCACTGATAAATTTGAAAAACCCTAATCTGTCAAATGTATATTTAATTTATCAATTACATCTGAAGTTTTGTGTCAATTATGCTATTTATATTCATTCTTAAATGAAGCATTCAATTTTTTAAAAAAGAAATCATTAAGAAAAAAATGAATTCTCATCTCTCAACACTGATTTATTCTTTCGAATGTTCGGTTATTTTCTCAGCTACTCAAGAGGAGCTAAGGAATTGCCAACACTTTGCAAGCCATGCAGGCTTCAGAAGGCAACTGCACCACACATGAAGTTTGGAGCCAACAGACCAGTTCATGACTGAGTAGCTCAGTCATGTCTTTCAAACAGGAAGGATTTTATATAGAGAATCTATAGAGTCTTGTAGAGAACATAAAGGCAAGAAAAGATACTATTCTGTAACAAAAAAAAAAAAACAATTTGATGATTTGCCAAAATACCACATTCTAAACTACCGCTTTTTGAAAACACAAAGACTCCAGTTTAATAGGCTATTTTAGATTAAGTAAATATAAACAGTGTTAACATGGATGTTTAATTCAACATTTCATATTTGTTTTTTGAACATATTCAGAACAGACGATTAAGTAAATATAAACAGTGTTAACCTGGATGTTTAATTCAACATTTCATAGTACTTTGTTTTTTGAACATATTCAGAACAGAAAAGTTCATAAATGTAATGTGTGTTACTTGTTTACATATATGGACAGTTCTTCAAAACTGCACTTTTATCTAGTTGTTACAAGGGAAACACCAAGAGACCATTACAAAAGATAAAAGCTACCCATTCTTTCCAGCACAGATGAAGACCATGGTCTGGATCCATGCACTCTAACAATACCAACGGACTAATTTACTAAGCTTTCCTTTTTCAAGAGGACTCTTAGCATCATAGATCCAGTTATTAAGCCTCTCTCACACTCGGGTTTTCCTTTTTAGACACAATTACCTTTCTTCTAAGCTGCCATCAGCCTACTTCTACTGAAGTACATTTCTATTCCACATTTCTGTTAGCACATTCCTTTCAAGGAGCTGTGAAAGCACATGTTTTATATATAACTGCCTTAAAAACGATTTTTTTTAAGCAAGAGAGAGCCAACAGACACTAATACAAGCATTCAAGTATAGTGTTGTTTTCTCTCCAAATCCTATGAATGCTAATCAGCAAGGATATTACCATCATTTAAGCCATATTTACTCTGTTTTTGTCATTGCAGGATATGGCTGTTTTTTATTTTATGGGATTTGATATTGCTGCTGTTCTAGGGGATATATTTACAGAAGCTTCAGAGAATTGTTTATTTAGGATATCTGCATTAACTCATTCGACACTGATGCTCCTAACGGGAGCATATAATTAATACCAAGAAGGATGTGCTAGTTTTTGTTGTTGACCTTCTAAAAAAAGCTTTATACAAAAGCAATTTACAGGCCTATCTAGACATGAAAAATATCTGGAACTTGAGCAATGGAAAAGAGAAATGGCTTGAGGGCCCAACTCAATACCTTCCTTTTCTTACATCATTTGGGACTTCTCAGGCAGTCCATGCTTCCTTAATCTCCCCCACCCTGATCTTCATCAGTAATCCCCTTGAGAGGAATTTTAACCTATTTGGAATGTTACATTACAACAAAGTAGATCAGCCTTGAAACCAAACCCCACTGCCCATGTCTTCCTCCCCTCTAAAAAAAGCAGTGTGCAGTGTTTCATCTTCAATAACCAACACACGCGGAAGTCCTGCCAGCTCAGCCACCCCACCCGTACATCAAACATGCAGCAGGCTAACTGCTGAAGCAGCTGGGCTTTGGCTCAATTTATTTAACTCAGGCAGAGTATATCTGCATTCACATGGGAAGTGCTACTCCACAGCCAGTGTGGGTCCATAAGCAATCTCAAGTCTTTCCCATTGCCCAGAGTCGGAGCTCATTTTCTGACAGACATGAACTATTTATGTGCTGAACCACCTCCATGGCCTCTGCACTGCAGTCTGGAAACAGAGAGGATGATCTGCAACAGTTTTGCATGGATCAACTCCAAACCTAAGTCTAAAATGATCCCAGACCATTTTGGGCCGTAGGATGGCATGAGGCCTCCCTGCACGCAGGGCTCTGAAGATCCATCCCTTTGGATGGGGGACACCCTGCACACACAGAGCCAGCCAAGGCCGCTGAGCAGCGCAGAGAGGCGACAGCAACGGCCTCCAACACAGCAGCCAACCACCTCCATGGGCTTCATTCAGTGCCAGCCACGCGGGTCCTGCCTGGGCCCTGCAGATCCAGTATTCTCATCCTCCCAGGGGCACAACAGTCATCTTCCTCTCGCTGGCCAAACTTTCCCAGCCTCCCATCACTCTGACTAATCAATCCCAGCTAACAAAATCCACTTGTGCACATCTTAAAAACGGTACGTGCCTCGGCAGGCCAGGCCAAAGCACACTGCAGAGGTCCTGTGCACTCCTTGTTCTTCAGTTTGATGAAGCAGCATAATGCTCATTTCTTAGGGTTCTCTCAGCATTCTTCTGTACTGAAAGCTGGATGAGGTAACTAATCTCAGGACTGCACACACACCCTTTCCAACCTATTGGGGGACTCATGTCTTCCTTTTGTCTTCTATAGTATGCACTTCACAGGGTAAATACTATAAAAATACAAAAAATAAACAATAGTGACATCCT